GCCACCCGGCGCTCCGCTCGTTGTTGTTGGAGGGCGACTGCTTCCAACTGCCCAGTAGCGTCCTTCACGAGCCTCCTCCACAGAGGCCGATCTTGACACCGCTGGTACCAGTCATCGGCAAGTCCACTCAGCTCCACGTCCTCCTGTATCACATCACTCCATCTCTTCTCTAGCCCGTGCCGCGCCCGTTTAGCTCCCTCGATCCAGCCGAACAGAAGCTGTTTAGGTATGCGGTGGCTAGGCATGCGGGCTACATGACCCAGCCAACGCAGCCTTGCCTGCCGGAGCTCACCGATGGGACTTTGCCCAGATCTTTCAAGGATTTGTGAGCTCCTCACACAATCCAGCCTGGTTAAACCCAGGATGGATCGTAGGCAGGCCAGCCTAAATGTTTCTAACCAGGCTAGGGGGGTCCACGTTTCGCAAGCGTAGAGAAGGGAGGGAATGACCGTGGCCGAGAAGACTTGAAGCTTCACGCACACACACACCATCACACACTCTCACCCACACACCATCACACACACACAAATGCAGGCGGAGAGCGAACGCCACTCAACACAGTCGGGAATCTAACCCAGAGAGGTTTCCGTGTAGGGCGTGAGCTTTACTTCTTACTTTATATTGTACCACAGCGTGTGTGAGACACCGCTGAGCTGCTGTGCAGTAGTAGTAGCACACAGAGACACACACAGACACACAAAGACACACAGAGACCCACAGAGACACACAGAGACACACACAGAGACACAGAAACACACAGACACACAGAGACCCACAGAGACACACACATACACACAGAAACACACAGACACACAGACACACAGAGACACACATAGAGACACACAGACACACAGAGACACACAGAGACACACAGAGACCCACAGAGAGACACAGAGACACACAGAGACACACAAAGACCCACAGAGACACACAGAGACTCAGAGACACACATAGACACACAGAGAGACACAGAGACACACAGAGACCCACAGAGACACACAGAGACCCAGAGAGACCCACAGAGACACACAGAGACCCACAGAGACACACAGAGACACAGAGACACGCAGAGACACACAGAGCCCCACAGAGACACACAGAGACCCACAGAGACCTAAAGAGACACACAGAGACACACAGAAACACAGAGACACACAGACACACAGAGACACACATAGAGACACACAGACACACAGAGACACACATAGAGACACACTCTACTGTGTGAGTAGTCTATGGGTCTCTACTGTGTGAGTAGTCTGTGGGTCTCTACTGTGTGAGTAGTCTATGGGTCTCTACTGTGTGAGTAGTCTGTGGGTCTCTACTGTGTGAGTAGTCTGTGGGTCTCTACTGTGTGAGTAGTCTGTGGGTCTCTACTGTGTGAGTAGTCTGTGGGTCTCTACTGTGTGAGTAGTCTGTGGGTCTCTATGGGTCTCTACTGTGTGAGTAGTCTGTGGGTCTCTACTGTGTGAGTAGTATGTGGGTCTCTACTGTGTGAGTAGTCTGTGGGTCTCTACTGTGTGAGTAGTCTGTGGGTCTCTACTGTGTGAGTAGTATGTGGGTCTCTACTGTGTGAGTAGTCTGTGGGTCTCTACTGTGTGTGTAGTCTGTGGGTCTCTACTGTGTGTGTAGTCTGTGGGTCTCTACTGTGTGAGTAGTATGTGGGTCTCTACTGTGTGTGTAGTCTGTGGGTCTCTACTGTGTGAGTAGTATGTGGGTCTCTACTGTGTGAGTAGTCTGTGGGTCTCTACTGTGTGAGTAGTCTGTGGGTCTCTACTGTGTGAGTAGTCTGTGGGTCTCTACTGTGTGAGTAGTCTGTGGGTCTCTACTGTGTGAGTAGTCTGTGGGTCTCTACTGTGTGAGTAGTCTGTGGGTCTCTACTGTGTGAGTAGTCTGTGGGTCTCTACTGTGTGAGTAGTCTGTGGGTCTCTACTGTGTGAGTAGTCTGTGGGTCTCTACTGTGTGAGTAGTCTGTGGGTCTCTACTGTGTGAGTAGTCTGTGGGTCTCTACTGTGTGAGTAGTCTGTGGGTCTCTACTGTGTGAGTAGTCTGTGGGTCTCTACTGTGTGAGTAGTCTGTGGGTCTCTACTGTGTGAGTAGTCTGTGGGTCTCTACTGTGTGAGTAGTCTGTGGGTCTCTACTGTGTGAGTAGTCTATGGGTCTCTACTGTGTGAGTAGTCTGTGGGTCTCTACTGTGTGAGTAGTCTGTGGGTCTCTACTGTGTGAGTAGTCTATGGGTCTCTACTGTGTGAGTAGTCTATGGGTCTCTACTGTGTGAGTAGTCTATGGGTCTCTACTGTGTGAGTAGTCTGTGAGTCTCTACTGTGTGAGTAGTCTATGGGTCTCTACTGTGTGAGTAGTCTATGGGTCTCTACTGTGTGAGTAGTCTATGGGTCTCTACTGTGTGAGTAGTCTATGGGTTCATCTTCTTGGTTCTTTCGGTAAAGTCACGTAGAAGGGAAGTAATAAAATAATAAAAATAAAACATAATAAAACAATTCTCACGACGTTTCGGCCACAACGCAAGCAGCCGTCCTCAGGTGAAAACCAGGTCCGTCGAGGCGACAGAGTCTGAATGAAACAGCACACGAGCTTGGAGCATATATATAAGCTGGGCGCATTGACAAAGGAATTTGCATATCAAAAGGAATTTAGCATATTTATGGGAAATGCAGGAATGTGATTAGTACTGCATATGCATGTGCATTATGCAGGATTAACATCATCAAAGGGAGCTGCAGTTACTGCTGCTGCTGCAATTGCTGCTGCTGCAGTTGCTGCTGCTGCAGTTGCTGCTGCTGCTGCAGTTTCTGCTGCTGCTGCAGTTGCTGCTGCTGCTGCAGTTGCTGCTGCTGCTATGCTCCAAGCTCGTGTGCTGTTTCATTCAGACTCTGTCGCCTCGACGGACCTGGTTTTCACCTGAGGACGGCTGCTTGCGTTGTGGCCGAAACGTCGTGAGAATTGTTTTATTATGTTTTATTTTTATTATTTTATTACTTCCCTTCTACGTGACTTTACCGAAAGAACCAAGAAGATGAATCCCTGCAGTCACGAAAGCTTTAAATCGAAATTTAGTCTATGGGTCTCTACTGTGTGAGTAGTCTGTGGGTCTCTACTGTGTGAGTAGTCTGTGGGTCTCTACTGTGTGAGTAGTCTGTGGGTCTCTACTGTGTGAGTAGTCTGTGGGTCTCTACTGTGTGAGTAGTCTGTGGGTCTCTACTGTGTGAGTAGTCTATGGGTCTCTACTGTGTGAGTAGTCTGTGGGTCTCTACTGTGTGAGTAGTCTGTGGGTCTCTACTGTGTGAGTAGTCTGTGGGTCTCTACTGTGTGAGTAGTCTGTGGGTCTCTACTGTGTGAGTAGTCTGTGGGTCTCTACTGTGTGAGTAGTCTATGGGTCTCTACTGTGTGAGTAGTCTGTGGGTCTCTACTGTGTGCGTAGTCTGTGGGTCTCTACTGTGTGAGTAGTCTGTGGGTCTCTACTGTGTGAGTAGTCTGTGGGTCTCTACTGTGTGAGTAGTCTGTGGGTCTCTACTGTGTGAGTAGTCTGTGGGTCTCTACTGTGTGAGTAGTCTGTGGGTCTCTACTGTGTGAGTAGTCTGTGGGTCTCTACTGTGTGAGTAGTCTATGGGTCTCTACTGTGTGAGTAGTCTGTGGGTCTCTACTGTGTGAGTAGTCTGTGGGTCTCTACTGTGTGAGTAGTCTGTGGGTCTCTACTGTGTGAGTAGTCTATGGGTCTCTACTGTGTGAGTAGTCTGTGGGTCTCTACTGTCTGAGTAGTCTGTGGGTCTCTACTGTGTGAGTAGTCTGTGGGTCTCTACTGTGTGAGTAGTCTATGGGTCTCTACTGTGTGAGTAGTCTGTGGGTCTCTACTGTGTGAGTAGTCTGTGGGTCTCTACTGTGTGAGTAGTCTATGGGTCTCTACTGTGTGAGTAGTCTGTGGGTCTTTACTGTGTGAGTAGTCTGTGGGTCTCTACTGTGTGAGTAGTCTATGGGTCTCTATTAGTAGTCTATGGGTCTCTGTGTGAGTAGTCTATGGGTCTCTGTGTGAGTAGTCTATGGGTCTCTACTGTGTGAGTAGTCTATGGGTCTCTGTGTGAGTAGTCTATGGGTCTCTGTGTGAGTAGTCTATGGGTCTCTATGAGTGGTCTATGGGTCTCTACTGTGTGAGTAGTCTATGGGTCTCTATGAGTGGTCTATGGGTCTCTATGAGTAGTCTGTGGGTCTCTATGAGTGGTCTATGGGTCTCTATGAGTGGTCTATGGGTCTCTATGAGTGGTCTATGGGTCTCTGTGTGAGTAGTCTATGGGTCTCTATGAGTGGTCTATGGGTCTCTACTGTGTGAGTAGTCTATGGGTCTCTATGAGTGGTCTATGGGTCTCTATGAGTAGTATGTGGGTCTCTATGAGTGGTCTATGGGTCTCTATGAGTGGTCTATGGGTCTCTATGAGTAGTCTATGGGTCTCTATGAGTAGTCTATGGGTCTCTATGAGTGGTCTATGGGTCTCTATGAGTGGTCTATGGGTCTCTGTGTGAGGAGTCTATGGGTCTCTATGAGTGGTCTATGGGTCTCTGTGTGAGGAGTCGATGGGTCTGTATGAGTGGTCTATGGGTCTCTGTGTGAGGAATCAATGGGTCTCTATGAGTGGTCTATGGGTCTCTGTGTGAGGAGTCTATGGGTCTCTATGAGTGGTCTATGGGTCTCTGTGTGAGGAGTCGATGGGTCTCTATGAGTGGTCTATGGGTCTCTGTGTGAGGAGTCGATGGGTCTCTATGAGTGGTCTATGGGTCTCTGTGTGAGGAATCAATGGATCTCTATGAGTGGTCTATGGGTCTCTGTGTGAGGAGTCGATGGGTCTCTATGAGTGGTCTATGGGTCTCTGTGTGAGGAGTCGATGGGTCTCTATGAGTGGTCTATGGGTCTCTGTGTGAGGAGTCGATGGGTCTCTATGAGTGGTCTATGGGTCTCTGTGTGAGGAGTCGATGGGTCTCTATGAGTGGTCTATGGGTCTCTGTGTGAGGAGTCGATGGGTCTCTATGAGTGGTCTATGGGTCTCTGTGTGAGGAGTCGATGGGTCTCTATGAGTGGTCTATGGGTCTCTGTGTGAAGAGTCGATGGGATCACGGTGCGCCACGTTGGAGTCGGTCCGACAGCCACGAGAGGAACACCGTCCTGCGGACAGAGCACATCGCCATGGCGACACAAACACACACACACACAGATACACACACAGACACACACACAGACAACAACAACAACAACCGCCATTCGCCACTAAGTGGCGGTGACGTCACCACGATGCTTGTGCCAGGCCAAGTGCACCTTGAGGCCACGTGAAGTGTCGAAAGCCCGCTGGCAGGAGGTCACGGGGCAGACCCAGGTGCCACTGGTCGACTGACCGAGATGACCGAGATGACTGGCTGATGCACCACCTGTGCCCCCTACTGTGCCAACTTGCTGTGCTTTAGCCACCCGGCGCTCCGCTCGTTGTTGTGAGCGTCGCTCCTCCGCCCTCCGTTGTTGTTGGAGGGCGACTGCCTCCAACTGCCCAGTAGCGTCCTTCACGAGCCTCCTCCACTGAGGCCGATCTTGACACCGCTGGTACCAGTCATCGGCAAGTCCACTCAGCTCCACGTCCTCCTGTACCACATCACTCCATCTCTTCTCCAGCCCGTGCCGCGCCCGTCTAGCCCCCTCGATCCGGCCGAACAAAAGCTGTTTAGGCATGCGGTGGCTGGGCATGCGGGCTACATGACCCAGCCAACGCAGCCTTGCCTGCCGGAGGAGCTCACTGATGGGACTTTGCCCAGATCTTTCAAGGATTTGTGAGCTCCTCACACAATCCAGCCTGGTTAAACCCAGGATGGATCGTAGGCAGGCCAGCCTAAATGTTTCCAACCGGCGAAGATGCTCCACCAGGGGGGTCCACGTCTCGCAAGCGTAGAGAAGGGAGGGAATGACCGTGGCCGAGAAGACCTGAAGCTTCGTGCGGAGCGACAGACCAGGTAGCTTCCACACAGCGTTACGCAACCGATGAAAAGATATTGCCGCTCGACTGATTCGGAGTGAGACCTCTGCTGATAGACTGGAGCCGGTCATAAGCACACTGCCCAGGTATGGGAAACTCTCCACTCTCTCCACAACTGCCCCATCACCAATTGGGAGTTGTGGGGGTGGAGTGTCCGATGGTACAAAATACCCAGGCAGGTGCTTGGTTTTGGTGGGGCTGATGGTAAGGCCCCACCTCTTAGTGGCACGCTCCAGTCTCAGCAGCAGCGCCTCCAACTCCTCTTCTGAATGAGCAGCTATTACCAAATCATCGGCATACATAACGTGGTTGACCAATAGGGAGCCATCCCTTGATCGCACCCGGGCGTCGATCAGCCTCCCATTATATCTGTACCAAACGGAAATTCCCCCGGTACAGCTATTGAAGGCTTCACGAACTACGCGGTCAAAATAGATGTTAAATAATGTGGGAGCCAGAGGACATCCCTGTCGCACCCCAAGGTGTACAGGGAAAGGCTCCGACTCCCGGCCACGTAGTTTTACCCGGGCCCGCTCACCATCATGAAGGTCCTTAATGATCGTGAGCAGAGGGTCAGGGACTCCGAAAGCACGAAGAACAACCCAGAGTCCAGTCCTACTGATGGTATCATAGGCCTTGACCAGGTCAATAAAGCAGAGATGTAGGTCTTTTTGGAATTCCCTACACCTCTGCTGTAGCAGACGGACAGAAAATATGGCATCTGTGCAGGACCGCCCTTTCCTGAAACCGCATTGGGGCTCCGCAAGCCCCTCCTCAGCGTGCCTAGCAAGGCGATGTTGAATAATCCTTGCCAGGACCTTACCCGGCACACTGAGGAGTGAGATGCCCCTGTAGTTGTTACAGTCTGTGCGGTCCCCCTTCTTAAAGAGGGGGACCACCAGGGCATCCTTCCAGTCCTGCGGAACCCGTCCAGTGGTCCAGACTGTTGTTATGATGTCATATAGGGCAGTCTGTGCACAAACGCCACCCTCCCTCAGCATTTCGCTTGGGAGATCATCTCTGCCCGGTGCCTTCCCTGGTCTCAGACTCCGGATCGCCCTCAGTACTTCCTCAACAGCTGGAACCTCAGCCATCCACTCACAGGGGGTGACCTCTTCCAATATTTGAGGCACCGCAGCCTCAGCAGGGTTATCCCCACTTTGTGCCATGATGTTTTCCTGGCTGAGAGAATTTCCCTCCCCCAGGACCTCACAGAAATGCTCAGCAAATCTGCAAACCTGTTCCTGGGGGTCGGAGATTGGATCACCGTTTTTTCCTCTAATGATGGTAATAGGTGTGGCGCTGCAGGTTACTTTTTTGATGGAGTTAAATAGTGATTTGTGATCACGGGCCACTGAGGCAGACTCCATCTCCTCAGCAACCCGCAACAACCACCCATCCTTACAACGCCTTACGGCTCTCCGAACTTCCGAGCGAAGGCTGCGGTAAACCTCCTCATTCTCTGACGTGGGATGCTGTAGGCGATGAGAGTGGGCCTGTCGCTTTTTCTCAATTAACCTGAACACCTCCTCTGTCAGCCAGGGTTTCTGGGGAGGTCTGGACCGCGTACCCAAAGCAGCCATTGCAGCTGCATGAGTCACAGTCCTAAACCTCGCCCATTTACCCTCGACATCAGGTGGAGTGGGGGACGATGCCAACCCCAGCTGCAAGCGATGATGAAATTCTCGCTTGCAACTTTCATCAGCTAACTGAGACCAGGCCACTTTTGGTTGGAATGGGATCCTGGGTGTACACCCACCACCGGAGTGGAAGAAAGGCAGGCGCATCTTACAGATGACTAGTCGATGGTCAGAGGACAGATCAGCTCCACGGTAGGTCCTGGTGTCAAGGACATGGGTTCGCATCCGCTGGTCCGTCACTATGTAGTCCAGCAGATGTTCTTGCTTGGACCCGGCATGTATCCATGATGTTGTGTGGATGCGCCGATGCCGGAAGAGCGTGTTGGTAATTACAAGCCCATGGGCTGCACAAAAATCTAGCAGCCTCCTACCGTTATTATTGAGCTGATCTGGCCCATGCCTTCCAATCACTCCAGACCAGGTGTCAGCATCATGACCAACTCGGGCATTGAAGTCACCCAACAAGATGACTCTGTCCCGAGTGGCCACTTTAGCCAGCACCTGTGACAGGAGGTCATAGAAAGCGTCTGACTCATCGGCTTTGCTTGCATCCCTCCACGGATGTTCGTCTTCGGTGGGGGCATAAGTAACCACGACCACCACTCCTCGCCTCTGGTTGATGGGAAGGCGAGCCCAAAGTATCCTGGGGCTTACAGCTTCCCACACCTCACCGCCACGCTCCCACGCCCCCTTCATTCTTTTGTTCAGAAGAAGAGCCACACCCTGTTGTTTGGCAGTCTCCTGCCCCGAGTAGAGGACTGTCCACCCCTCATGGTGGCAGGAGCCAGAACCGGTCCACCGGACCTCCTGAATGCCACAGAGATCCAGGCGGTACCGGTCCAGCTCCCGACAGAGGAGTGGCAGCCTCTCCTCCGCAGTGAGCGTTCGAACATTCCACGTGGCCATCCGCAATGGTTTTTTGTTGTTTCTGGAGGAGCCCCGAGGGTGAAAATTCAATCTCCTGGCTCCGCCAAATGGGGTTTGGCCAGGAGACGTCATAAAAGCCTGACCCCCCGGGGCCTCCGGCACAAGCTTATTTGTTACAGGTTTATGTTTAATTCGTGGTTTAGTGGTAATGAATTGAAGGTGGAGGGGTTACCAGCCCCTCACACCCGTCCAGAGCCCCCGTTTAGCCACTGTGGTGGTCACAGACGCCATGAGGGGAGAGGCCAATGGGCATTGGCCCTCCCCCCACAGCAATGTCCACGACAGTGTTGCCCGTCCGGCACCGCGAGGAGGTAGGAGGTTGTTTTGCCGGACACACAGACACACACACAGAGACACACACACACACAGACACACACACAGACACACACACAGACACACACACACAGATACACACACAGACACACACACAGACACACACACAGACACACACACAGACACACAACAACAACAACAACAACCGCCATTCGCGACTAAGTGGCGGTGACGTCACCACGACGCTTGTGCCAGGCCATGTGCACCTTGAGGCCACGTGAAGTGTCGAACGCCCGCTGGCAGGAGGTCACAGGGCAGACGCACCCGGCGCTCCGCTCGTTGTTGTGAGCGTCGCTCCTCCGCCCTCCGTTGTTGTTGGAGGGCGACTGCCTCCAACTGCCCAGTAACGTCCTTCACGAGCCTCCTCCACTGAGCCCGTTCTTGACACGGCTGGTACCAGTCATCGGCAAGTCCACTCAGCTCCACGTCCTCCTGTACCACATCACTCCATCTCTTCTCCAGCCCGTGCCGCGCCCGTCTAGCCCCCTCGATCCGGCCGAACAAAAGCTGTTTAGGCATGCGGTGGCTGGGCATGCGGGCTACATGACCCAGCCAACGCAGCCTTGCCTGCCGGAGGAGCTCACTGATGGGACTTTGCCCAGATCTTTCAAGGATTTGTGAGCTCCTCACACAATCCAGCCTGGTTAAACCCAGGATGGATCGTAGGCAGGCCAGCCTAAATGTTTCCAACCGGCGAAGATGCTCCACCAGGGGGGTCCACGTCTCGCAAGCGTAGAGAAGGGAGGGAATGACCGTGGCCGAGAAGACCTGAAGCTTCGTGCGGAGCGACAGACCAGGTAGCTTCCACACAGCGTTACGCAACCGATGAAAAGATATTGCCGCTCGACTGATTCGGAGTGAGACCTCTGCTGATAGACTGGAGCCGGTCATAAGCACACTGCCCAGGTATGGGAAACTCTCCACTCTCTCCACAACTGCCCCATCACCAATTGGGAGTTGTGGGGGTGGAGTGTCCGATGGTACAAAATACCCAGGCAGGTGCTTGGTTTTGGTGGGGCTGATGGTAAGGCCCCACCTCTTAGTGGCACGCTCCAGTCTCAGCAGCAGCGCCTCCAACTCCTCTTCTGAATGAGCAGCTATTACCAAATCATCGGCATACATAACGTGGTTGACCAATAGGGAGCCATCCCTTGATCGCACCCGGGCGTCGATCAGCCTCCCATTATATCTGTACCAAACGGAAATTCCCCCGGTACAGCTATTGAAGGCTTCACGAACTACGCGGTCAAAATAGATGTTAAATAATGTGGGAGCCAGAGGACATCCCTGTCGCACCCCAAGGTGTACAGGGAAAGGCTCCGACTCCCGGCCACGTAGTTTTACCCGGGCCCGCTCACCATCATGAAGGTCCTTAATGATCGTGAGCAGAGGGTCAGGGACTCCGAAAGCACGAAGAACAACCCAGAGTCCAGTCCTACTGATGGTATCATAGGCCTTGACCAGGTCAATAAAGCAGAGATGTAGGTCTTTTTGGAATTCCCTACACCTCTGCTGTAGCAGACGGACAGAAAATATGGCATCTGTGCAGGACCGCCCTTTCCTGAAACCGCATTGGGGCTCCGCAAGCCCCTCCTCAGCGTGCCTAGCAAGGCGATGTTGAATAATCCTTGCCAGGACCTTACCCGGCACACTGAGGAGTGAGATGCCCCTGTAGTTGTTACAGTCTGTGCGGTCCCCCTTCTTAAAGAGGGGGACCACCAGGGCATCCTTCCAGTCCTGCGGAACCCGTCCAGTGGTCCAGACTGTTGTTATGATGTCATATAGGGCAGTCTGTGCACAAACGCCACCCTCCCTCAGCATTTCGCTTGGGAGATCATCTCTGCCCGGTGCCTTCCCTGGTCTCAGACTCCGGATCGCCCTCAGTACTTCCTCAACAGCTGGAACCTCAGCCATCCACTCACAGGGGGTGACCTCTTCCAATATTTGAGGCACCGCAGCCTCAGCAGGGTTATCCCCACTTTGTGCCATGATGTTTTCCTGGCTGAGAGAATTTCCCTCCCCCAGGACCTCACAGAAATGCTCAGCAAATCTGCAAACCTGTTCCTGGGGGTCGGAGATTGGATCACCGTTTTTTCCTCTAATGATGGTAATAGGTGTGGCGCTGCAGGTTACTTTTTTGATGGAGTTAAATAGTGATTTGTGATCACGGGCCACTGAGGCAGACTCCATCTCCTCAGCAACCCGCGACCACCACCCATCCTTACAACGCCTTACGGCTCTCCGAACTTCCGAGCGAAGGCTGCGGTAAACCTCCTCATTCTCTGACGTGGGATGCTGTAGGCGATGAGAGTGGGCCTGTCGCTTTTTCTCAATTAACCTGAACACCTCCTCTGTCAGCCAGGGTTTCTGGGGAGGTCTGGACCGCGTACCCAAAGCAGCCATTGCAGCTGCATGAGTCACAGTCCTAAACCTCGCCCATTTACCCTCGACATCAGGTGGAGTGGGGGACGATGCCAACCCCAGCTGCAAGCGATGATGAAATTCTCGCTTGCAACTTTCATCAGCTAACTGAGACCAGGCCACTTTTGGTTGGAATGGGATCCTGGGTGTACACCCACCACCGGAGTGGAAGAAAGGCAGGCGCATCTTACAGATGACTAGTCGATGGTCAGAGGACAGATCAGCTCCACGGTAGGTCCTGGTGTCAAGGACATGGGTTCGCATCCGCTGGTCCGTCACTATGTAGTCCAGCAGATGTTCTTGCTTGGACCCGGCATGTATCCATGATGTTGTGTGGATGCGCCGATGCCGGAAGAGCGTGTTGGTAATTACAAGCCCATGGGCTGCACAAAAATCTAGCAGCCTCCTACCGTTATTATTGAGCTGATCTGGCCCATGCCTTCCAATCACTCCAGACCAGGTGTCAGCATCATGACCAACTCGGGCATTGAAGTCACCCAACAAGATGACTCTGTCCCGAGTGGCCACTTTAGCCAGCACCTGTGACAGGAGGTCATAGAAAGCGTCTGACTCATCGGCTTTGCTTGCATCCCTCCACGGATGTTCGTCTTCGGTGGGGGCATAAGTAACCACGACCACCACTCCTCGCCTCTGGTTGATGGGAAGGCGAGCCCAAAGTATCCTGGGGCTTACAGCTTCCCACACCTCACCGCCACGCTCCCACGCCCCCTTCATTCTTTTGTTCAGAAGAAGAGCCACACCCTGTTGTTTGGCAGTCTCCTGCCCCGAGTAGAGGACTGTCCACCCCTCATGGTGGCAGGAGCCAGAACCGGTCCACCGGACCTCCTGAATGCCACAGAGATCCAGGCGGTACCGGTCCAGCTCCCGACAGAGGAGTGGCAGCCTCTCCTCCGCAGTGAGCGTTCGAACATTCCACGTGGCCATCCGCAATGGTTTTTTGTTGTTTCTGGAGGAGCCCCGAGGGTGAAAATTCAATCTCCTGGCTCCGCCAAATGGGGTTTGGCCAGGAGACGTCATAAAAGCCTGACCCCCCGGGGCCTCCGGCACAAGCTTATTTGTTACAGGTTTATGTTTAATTCGTGGTTTAGTGGTAATGAATTGAAGGTGGAGGGGTTACCAGCCCCTCACACCCGTCCAGAGCCCCCGTTTAGCCACTGTGGTGGTCACAGACGCCATGAGGGGAGAGGCCAATGGGCATTGGCCCTCCCCCCACAGCAATGTCCACGACAGTGTTGCCCGTCCGGCACCGCGAGGAGGTAGGAGGTTGTTTTGCCGGACACACAGACACACACACAGAGACACACACACACACACAGACACACACACAGACACACACACAGACACACACACACAGATACACACACAGACACACACACAGACACACACACAGACACACACACAGACACACAACAACAACAACAACAACCGCCATTCGCGACTAAGTGGCGGTGACGTCACCACGACGCTTGTGCCAGGCCATGTGCACCTTGAGGCCACGTGAAGTGTCGAACGCCCGCTGGCAGGAGGTCACAGGGCAGACGCACCCGGCGCTCCGCTCGTTGTTGTGAGCGTCGCTCCTCCGCCCTCCGTTGTTGTTGGAGGGCGACTGCCTCCAACTGCCCAGTAACGTCCTTCACGAGCCTCCTCCACTGAGCCCGTTCTTGACACGGCTGGTACCAGTCATCGGCAAGTCCACTCACCTCCACGTCCTCCTGTACCACATCACTCCATCTCTTCTCTAGCCCGTGCCGCGCCCGTTTAGCCCCCTCGATCCGACCGAACAAAAGCTGTTTAAGCATGCGGTAGCTGGGCATGCGGGCTACATGACCCAGCCAATGCAGCCTTGCCTGCCGGAGGAGCTCACCGATGGGACTTTTCCCAGATCTTTCAAGGATTTGTGAGCTCCTCACACAATCCAGCCTGGTTAAACCCAGGATGGATCGTAGGCAGGCCAGCCTAAATGTTTCCAACCGGTGAAGATGCTCCACTAGGGGGGTCCACGTTTCGCAAGCGTAGAGAAGGGAGGGAATGAACGTGGCCGAGAAGACCTGAAGCTTCGTGCGGAGCGACAGACCAGGTAGCTTCCACACAGCGTTACGCAACCGATGAAAAGATATTGCCGCTCGACTGATTCGGAGTGAGACCTCTGCCCAGGTATGGGAAACTCTCCACTCTCTCCACAACTTCCCCATCACCGACTGGGAGTTGTGGGGGTGGACTGCCCGATGGTACAAACTACCCAGGCAGGTGCTTAGTTTTGGTGGGGCTGATGGTAAGGCCCCACCTCTTAGTGGCACGCTCCAGTCTCAGCAGCAGCGTCTCCAACTCCTCTTCTGAATGAGCAGCTATTACCAAATCATCGGCATACATAACGTGGTTGACCAATAGGGAGCCATCCCTTGATCGCACCCGGGCGTTGATCAGCCTCCCATTATATCTGTACCAAATGAAAATTCCCCCGGTACAACTGTAGTGACATAGAACGGTCACTACTGTGTCGGCACGTACGAGGGCTGGGGGCCCCAAGGGGGTGCCTGGGGGGTCACGTGGTGGAGGGATCCGGACCTTCCCAGAGGTGGGGGAAGGGAGGCGTGGCCTGGACGGAGCCGGCCACGCCAAAGCAGATATAAGCGTGGTGTGAACGCAGAGCGAGGCTGTTGTACTGTACTCCAAAGTGAAGACATCATCGGTCGTCAAGTCCCGAGTCGTCGTCCTGGACCAGGCAGGCCGTTGCCTGCCTGGTCCAGTCTGTGTCGCGTTCCAGAGTGTTAGTGAGTTGAGGAAGGTGGTCACCACCTCATGTACAGTGTTATATTACTTACCGTTTAATAAATAGTGTTGCCTCCAAGCTGCGTGTGTGTGCACCTAATTCGAACCCACTACACAGCTATTGAAGGCTTCACGAACTACGCGGTCAAAATAGATGTTAAATAATGTGGGAGCCAGAGGACATCCCTGTCGCACCCCAAGGTATACAGGGAAAGGCTCCGACTCCCGGCCACGTAGTTTTACCCGGGCCCGCTCACCATCATGAAGGTCCTTAATGATCGTGAGCAGAGGGTCAGGGACTCCGAAAGCACGAAGAACAACCCAGAGTCCAGGCCTATTGATGGTATCATAGGCCTTGACCAGGTCAATACACACACACACACAGACACACAGACACACACACACAGACACACACACACAGACACACACACACAGACACACACAAACAGACACACACAGACACACACACAGACACACACAGACACACACAGACACACACACAGACACACACACACAGACACACACACACAGACACACACACACAGACACACACACACAGACACACACACAGACACACACACAGACACACACACACAGACACACACACACACAGACACACACACAGACACACACACACAGACACACACACACACACACAGACACACACAGACACACACACACAGACACACACACAAACACACACACACACGGACACACACACACAGACACACACACAGACACACACACACACAGACACACAGACACACACACACAGACACACAGACACACACGTACACACACCTGCAGTGCTGTACCACACACTCACTGCTGCAATACTCCAGATCCCAGTCGCTGTTCTCCACAGGCAAGTTCCGGCATCCGGATCGGGAGCACAGAGCCAGAGTCAGCCCGGCTCCTGCAGTCCGATCCGCGGGATCCGCACCGGGTCTTACTCCTCTTCTTCCTCTCCTACAAGACTGGAGGAACAACATAGAGACCCACAGACTACTCACACAGAGACCCACAGACTACTCACACAGAGACCCACAGACTACTCACACAGAGACCCACAGACTACTCACACAGAGACCCACAGACTACTCACACAGAGACCCACAGACTACTCACACAGAGACCCACAGACTACTCACACAGAGACCCACAGACTACTCACACAGAGACCCACAGACTACTCACACAGAGACGCACAGACTACTCACACAGAGACCCACAGACTACTCACACAGAGACCCATAGACTACTCACACAGAGACCCATAGACTCACCACACAGAGACCCACAGGCTCACCACACAGAGACCCACAGACTCACAACACAGAGACACACAGACTCATCACACAGAGACCCATAGGCTACTCATACAGATACCCACAGACTACTCACACAGAGACCCATAGACTACTCACACAGAGACCCATAGACTACTCACACAGAGACCCACAGACTACTCACACAGAGACACACAGACTACTCACACAGACCCATAGACTACTCACACAGAGACCCACAGACTACTCACACAGAGACGCACAGACTACTCACACAGAGACCCACAGACTACTCACACAGAGACCCATAGACTACTCACACAGAGACCCACAGACTACTCACACAGAGACGCACAGACTACTCACACAGAGACCCACAGACTACTCACACAGAGACCCATAGACTACTCACACAGAGACCCACAGACTACTCACACAGAGACCCACAGACTACTCACACAGAGACGCACAGACTACTCACACAGACCCATAGACTACTCACACAGAGACCCACAGACTACTCACACAGAGACCCACAGACTACTCACACAGTAGAGACCCACATACTACTCACACAGAGACCCACAGACTACTCACACAGAGACCCACAGACTACTCACACAGAGACCCACAGACTACTCACACAGAGACCCATAGACTCACCACACAGAGACCCACAGGCTCACCACACAGAGACCCACAGACTCACAACACAGAGACCCACAGACTCACCACACAGAGACACACAGACTCATCACACAGAGACCCATAGGCTACTCATACAGAGACCCACAGACTACTCACACAGAGACCCATAGACTACTCACACAGAGACCCATAGACTACTCACACAGAGACCCATAGACTACTCACACAGAGACCCACAGACTACTCACACAGAGACCCATAGACTACTCACACAGAGACCCACAGACTACTCACACAGAGACCCACAGACTACTCACACAGAGACCCACAGACTACTCACACAGAGACCCACAGACTACTCACACAGAGACCCACAGACTACTCACACAGAGACCCACAGACTACTCACACAGAGACCCACAGACTACTCACACAGAGACCCATAGACTACTCACACAGAGACGCACAGACTACTCACACAGAGACCCACAGACTACTCACACAGAGACCCACAGACTACTCACATAGAGACCCATAGACTCACCACACAGAGACCCACAGGCTCACCACACAGAGACCCACAGACTCACAACACAGAGACACACAGACTCATCACACAGAGACCCATAGGCTACTCATACAGATACCCACAGACTACTCACACAGAGACCCATAGACTACTCACACAGAGACCCATAGACTACTCACACAGAGACCCACAGACTACTCACACAGAGACACACAGACTACTCACACAGACCCATAGACTACTCACACAGAGACCCACAGACTACTCACACAGAGACGCACAGACTACTCACACAGAGACCCACAGACTACTCACACAGAGACCCATAGACTACTCACACAGAGACCCACAGACTACTCACACAGAGACGCACAGACTACTCACACAGAGACCCACAGACTACTCACACAGAGACCCATAGACTACTCACACAGAGACCCACAGACTACTCACACAGAGACCCACAGACTACTCACACAGAGACGCACAGACTACTCACACAGACCCATAGACTACTCACACAGAGACCCACAGACTACTCACACAGAGACCCACAGACTACTCACACAGTAGAGACCCACATACTACTCACACAGAGACCCACAGACTACTCACACAGAGACGCACAGACTACTCACACAGAGACCCACAGACTACTCACACAGAGACCCATAGACTACTCACACAGAGACCCATAGACTCACCACACAGAGACCCACAGGCTCACCACACAGAGACCCACAGACTCACAACACAGAGACACACAGACTCATCACACAGAGACCCATAGGCTACTCATACAGATACCCACAGACTACTCACACAGAGACCCATAGACTACTCACACAGAGACCCATAGACTACTCACACAGAGACCCACAGACTACTCACACAGAGACACACAGACTACTCACACAGACCCATAGACTACTCACACAGAGACCCACAGACTACTCACACAGAGACGCACAGACTACTCACACAGAGACCCACAGACTACTCACACAGAGACCCATAGACTACTCACACAGAGACCCACAGACTACTCACACAGAGACGCACAGACTACTCACACAGAGACCCACAGACTACTCACACAGAGACCCATAGACTACTCACACAGAGACCCACAGACTACTCACACAGAGACCCACAGACTACTCACACAGAGACGCACAGACTACTCACACAGACCCATAGACTACTCACACAGAGACCCACAGACTACTCACACAGAGACCCACAGACTACTCACACAGTAGAGACCCACATACTACTCACACAGAGACCCACAGACTACTCACACAGAGACCCACAGACTACTCACACAGAGACCCACAGACTACTCACACAGAGACCCATAGACTCACCACACAGAGACCCACAGGCTCACCACACAGAGACCCACAGACTCACAACACAGAGACCCACAGACTCACCACACAGAGACACACAGACTCATCACACAGAGACCCATAGGCTACTCATACAGAGACCCACAGACTACTCACACAGAGACCCATAGACTACTCACACAGAGACCCATAGACTACTCACACAGAGACCCATAGACTACTCACACAGAGACCCACAGACTACTCACACAGAGACCCATAGACTACTCACACAAAGACCCACAGACTACTCACACAGAGACCCATAGACTACTCACACAGAGACCCACAGACTACTCACACAGAGACTCATAGACTACTCACACAGAGACCCACAGACTACTCACACAGTAGAGACCCATAGACTACTCACACAGAGACCCACAGACTACTCACACAGAGACCCATAGACTACTCACACAGAGACCCACAGACTACTCACACAGAGACCCATAGACTCACCACACAGAGACCCACAGACTCACCACACAGAGACCCACAGACTCACCACACAGAGACCCACAGACTCACCACACAGAGACACACAGACTCATCACACAGAGACCCATAGACTACTCATACAGAGACCCACAGACTACTCACACAGAGACCCATAGACTACTCACACAGAGACCCATAGACTACTCACACAGAGACCCATAGACTACTCACACAGAGACCCACAGACTACTCACACAGAGACCCATAGACTACTCACACAGAGACCCATAGACTACTCACACAGAAACCCATAGACTACTCATAGAGACTCATAGACTACTCACACAGAGACCCATAGACTACTCACACAGAGACCCACAGACTACTCACACAGAGACCCACAGACTACTCACACAGAGACCCACAGACTACTCACACAGAGACCCACAGACTACTCACACAGAGACCCACAGACTACTCACACAGAGACCCACAGACTACTCACACAGAGACCCACAGACTACTCACACAGAGACCCATAGACTACTCACACAGAGACGCACAGACTACTCACACAGAGACCCACAGACTACTCACACAGAGACCCACAGACTACTCACATAGAGACCCATAGACTCACCACACAGAGACCCACAGGCTCACCACACAGAGACCCACAGACTCACAACACAGAGACACACAGACTCATCACACAGAGACCCATAGGCTACTCATACAGATACCCACAGACTACTCACACAGAGACCCATAGACTACTCACACAGAGACCCATAGACTACTCACACAGAGACCCACAGACTACTCACACAGAGACACACAGACTACTCACACAGACCCATAGACTACTCACACAGAGACCCACAGACTACTCACACAGAGACGCACAGACTACTCACACAGAGACCCACAGACTACTCACACAGAGACCCATAGACTACTCACACAGAGACCCACAGACTACTCACACAGAGACGCACAGACTACTCACACAGAGACCCACAGACTACTCACACAGAGACCCATAGACTACTCACACAGAGACCCACAGACTACTCACACAGAGACCCACAGACTACTCACACAGAGACGCACAGACTACTCACACAGACCCATAGACTACTCACACAGAGACCCACAGACTACTCACACAGAGACCCACAGACTACTCACACAGTAGAGACCCACATACTACTCACACAGAGACCCACAGACTACTCACACAGAGACGCACAGACTACTCACACAGAGACCCACAGACTACTCACACAGAGACCCATAGACTACTCACACAGAGACCCATAGACTCACCACACAGAGACCCACAGGCTCACCACACAGAGACCCACAGACTCACAACACAGAGACACACAGACTCATCACACAGAGACCCATAGGCTACTCATACAGATACCCACAGACTACTCACACAGAGACCCATAGACTACTCACACAGAGACCCATAGACTACTCACACAGAGACCCACAGACTACTCACACAGAGACACACAGACTACTCACACAGACCCATAGACTACTCACACAGAGACCCACAGACTACTCACACAGAGACGCACAGACTACTCACACAGAGACCCACAGACTACTCACACAGAGACCCATAGACTACTCACACAGAGACCCACAGACTACTCACA